TAACCTTTTTCAAAAGAAAACACAAAGATACAAACATTATACAATGAATATATAGTGAATAAATCAGAAATAGAAATGCAGCAACTAAATAGCAAGCCTTACCTTTTTAAGAGGTGCTGGTTCTCTCATGTCATACAGCACTATACTTCTGTCAGAGGCACAACTAGCAAGAAGTTCAGTCTGTGGAAAGACATTAAGATATTGTTTACTTCAATGGTTTCAGTATTCATTGACGAGATGGGGTTATGAAACAGGTATAAACACTCACAGATATACTTGTTTTGAGTTCTATACTCTACAGATAATCAGATGTAATAAGTCATATGGATGTAATATTAGTGAAATATGGGTTTAGTTGGTGTCATTTGAGTGTAAAAGTGTAATATTGGTGTATTTTGGGTGTCATAATGGTCTAACATGGTTGAAACACTGGTGCAATCAAATATAAAATGTATATATAAGAGGCAATATATTTCTGGAAAATAGGGTCAGTTTTAAAAATATCATGAAATTGTATTATTTGAGCCTAGATATATTAGATAATAGCAATGTGCATATGTGCCTTCCCATTTAAGGGTTCAAGATTTCAGCAGGCTTTGATGTGACAGGTGGTCTTCACTGAGTGGGGTGGATGCATGGTGCCTCACCTCCACAGGGTTGAAGCGCACAGCGCTGAAGCTGTCCACGCCCCAGGTGAAGGATCGGATCGGGCTGCTCCTCTGCTCGTCCCACACGTCCACCTGCTGGCCGCATGTTGCAAACACGCCCTCCTTCCTGTGATGGTCCAGTCCTGTGAAGACTGTCTGTAAAGGGAATACAAATCCTCTTTGATTAATGTGATATTCACAACCTCTCCCTCGTGGATAGAATTCAGCCGAATCAAGGTGATTTTATTTGTTTGTATTCTAGCGATAAAGAGTAACTCAAATCAAACAGCCTTCTGCAAGTGAAAGTTAAAAACAAGGAAATCATCTTGATTACATAAACACAATTTAGAAAATTATATTTAAACTAATAACTGAAATAGATATATTTGATGAAATAATAATAATATTGGGAGGGATGAAACCCTCTTTAATGGTCACACATGCAGAGCACACAGCACAGTGCCATTTGTTCTCTGCTTTTAACCCATCCTAGTCAGTGTGCGACTAGTACACGTCCCACCGCCCGGGACGTGTTATTTAGAATATCGGACAAGTAGATCTTTCAATTGACTTGTCCGGTGGACAAGTGACGTTTTTCGGCCTGATTTATTGACAAATTATTGATACATTCAGTTTACAAAAGGCAGAACTCATTCGCAAATTGTACGTGTCCGCCATTGTTCGTTTAGAAGTGTTAGTTTCGGTTCTGCTTGTCGATTCCTAAGGAAATGCATCTCGCCGCTTTCTGTACAGTTAGGCGGGGCGGGAAGTGTAGCACAGTGGCAGGGTTGGGAAGCAAAACTCGGTTCCGAGTAGGAACAAATAACAATTGTCCGGTACCGGGATTAATAAGAGTTGTGAGGACAGGAGGCGAGGCCGAGGCCCGTGGACCGCAGCTCTCTCTCTCTCTATGCTCCGTATCAGCTGATCGCTGCTCAGTGTCTCTCTCTCTCTCTCTCTCTCTCTACACACAGCGGATCCGCTGCCTGTTTAACAGCCTCATCTTTGTCAAACTTTCTTATGTTCTTTCTCTAACACATAATGAAGGTTATTAAAGGTGGGGTAGGTAAGTTTGAGAAACCGGCTCGAGATACACTTTTTGTTATATTCCATGGAATGCTCTTAACATCCCGATAGCAATGAACATCTTAAGTGCTTTGACAAAAAATCCATAAATGTCATCATTGGGCGTGCATTGCGCGTTCATGTGTGTTGGAGGAGGTGCTCTGTAAGGAAGTCTGAAGGAAGGGGCGGATTCTTTTCGGCTGTGTACTTTCAAATTTAGTGCACTCGAGCCGGTTTCTGAAACTTACCTACCCCACCTTTAAGCGTTTTAGATCCTGTGTTGTTAATATTGACCACCATTTCCATTATGAAGTAAAGCAGCCTCCCTGTCTGTGTCCTCGCGCTGTCCTCACATCCCCGGACCCCCAGACTCGGAGGAGCACAGGGATGTCAGTATTGTTTATGAAGCAGGGTATAGAAACTACATTATTGAAATTAAAATACTATTTATTTACTTTTAAAAACAGTGAGCAGCTGGGCAGCATGTGTATTGCAGGACATGTGTAAGCGTGCAAGAGTCTTTGAGTTGTAGAAAAGAGCTAGGCCTATAGGCTATACATCTAATGTGTCATTATTATTATTATTAGGTTATGTGTTGGACATGTGTGGTTGGACTCTGTCTCACAGGCAGGTTGCAGTGTAACATCAGAGGACACTGGGCCAATTGTACATTCTCAAACTGCACCACTTAGAACTAACTAAACAATGCAGAGATTATTTTTATATAATTGTATTCAATAACCGTAAGAAATTAAACAGTATGAAGTGATTTGTAAATAGGAATACAGATTTTGACTTAATGTTTTCATAAATATATTTTTCTCCCAGTTTGTCATGGGACTTATTTTTACCCTCTTAAGAACCGGAATCGAGAACCAAAAATAACCGGAATCGAAAAGCAGAACCGGAATCGTTAAAATCCAAACGATACCCAACCCTATGTGTGATGCAGTAAAATCTTACCGCTCACTTACGTTAGCGGTGTCGTAAAAACCGTGGGAACATTTTAAATACGATGGCGAAGAAGAAGATTCCAGTGGCCCCAATTTTTGTCCATTCTGGACAAGTGAAAAATGTATTCGGACAAGTAAATTGCCAAACTCACAAGTACTCTCTAAAAACTTTTTCTCACACTGCTAGTACAAGGAGTCTAGTACTAGGAGCAGTGGGCAGCTATTGCACAGCGCCCGGGGAGCAATGGGAGTGAGGGGGGAAGGGGGGTGTCCGGCACCACGGCAGGGCAGGAGGTGAACTGGGACCTCTCCAAGTAGAAGTCCACACTCCATATTTAGGTCTGGGCGGGGACTTGAACCAGAGACCCTACGGCTCACAGTCCAATCCCCTACTGACTGAGCCACTGCCGGACCTTGTTAAAATAAAGCATCTATGTATCCACTATGGGGCCTGATTTCACTTCACTTACTTACAGTAAGGGCAAATCTTTGAATTTAAAATGTATTTTATTTCTTCAATTTTCAGAATGTATATGGATATGCACATGTGTGGCCACATAGGTGGAGGTGTGTTTATGTATGCATGTATTTAAATTCTAGATAGATCCTTCCCTTTTAGTGTATTGTTGTCCATTAACATTGTGTAACCACAGCTGTCTTTGCTGATAACACTGTAAATGCCTGCTGATCTCACCTTGCCCAGAATAGTGTTGAGCGGCTCCTCTTCCTCTCCGTAAGCTGGTGCCTCTATTTTCCATTGCTTGATTGTTTTGTCGTCACCAACCTGTTAGAGTCACCATGCCCAGGTATAAAAAAAGAAGATGTATTAGAGGTAAGCTGACAAAACACTCATCATTCTGAAAAACTATTTCTAGAAGGGCTGCAGTTACCGTAAAGAAAGACGTTCCACAATGGCGTACGACCATTCCACGGACAAAACCTTCATGTGCTTGCAGAGTGCGGACGCATTCACGTTTGGTCAGATTCCACACTTTCACCTATGAATCATATCAAAATACATTTACAGAATTGTGTGTACAATTCCACAGTTCCAAACGAAAGGCTCAACAAATGGCACTTTTTCAGATAGTTACCTCCCCATCACAGGAGCCAGATAAAAGGGTGGAGAGGTTGGTGGTGTGCTTGGCCAAGCAGTTCACCCCATCTCTGTGTCCATCCAGAGAGGCCAGGAAAGGCTTGGCAAACACTCTCTCAAGCTTGGTGGCATTCAGGGCCCGGGTGTACTCTCTGCTCACCTCAAACGGATGGAGGGATGGGTCATAGTTTCTTGGAACTAACAGAGAGAAGAGAATCATTAATGAGTTGGAAGGAGAATTAACTTACATATAGGATGATACTGTGTTATGAATATGCAGATCATTCTATGTTAAGTATAGGTTCAGGGATAAACTCAGTTGAATGCATACGTTTGATTCATTGGAATACATTTAATTGTCATGAGTTAATAATTGCAATTCATGGACATGCCATTTGCTTTTGTTTGATATGTTTAAAAACTAAACCTGCAAATATGATATACACCTACTTTCAATGTAATTTTAGTGACTTTAAATGGATGCTAATGTTGTAGCTGACATTAAACACTAAGCGGATATTTGAAATGCATCATATTTGCTGTTTTTGGTTTGATCGTAGCTTAAAACACGAAATGTTGTCCCTCCAGATATATTTACGTTAAAAGCATTTATTTTTATCACAATATCCTAATGTGCACAATGCAGTAACAAAATGTGAAGGGCTGATGTTTTCTGGCTAGCATTACTAATAGCATACTGCGTTTAGCCTATCCAAGTTTAACGTTTATCACTTACCACGCTGGATATCTAGTTTTGTCTCGCGGACATAATCATCCGGGTTCCTCGAGAGGAGTTTAACTTTCATTTTGTAGACGACTGAAAACGGACACACTCTTAAAAAAGGCCGTTGTGTTTAGGTTAAAAAAGAACAATATTAGCAACTACTGGCCATGTGTTGACGTCGAGGAGGAAATTCATTTGGCCGTGTTGCATTGTGGGATGTCCAGTCCTGGCTGCGTGGGCTGCGTCACTGACACGGCAGGCAAATTGCAAAAGTTAGCAGAGAAAGATCGACAATAAAACGATGAGGTCTTCAAACAAGTAGTTACATGTTCTGCTTTGTGACAAGGCACTGGAGGGTAGCGTTAATTCAAATATATGTTGATAAACCGTCTTTGATAAAGAAGTGTAATGAGAGAATAGGGCCGAGATAATGACTTGGATTGATGTTGTTCGTCTAAACTGGTTTTATTTTGAAGTTTATGACCGGAAGCACTGTTCTTAATTTGCTTCTACTTGATACTAGTAGCAAGGTCGAGTAGTAGCACTGATGTGCTCCTTGACATGTAATGCGTTACCTCAGCCATGGAGTATCACCACATGTTTAAAACGTGGTTCCGTTGCTAAAATGCAATTACAATGAGGGCGTGTCAAGGAGTTAGTACAGTGTGTACAGTACAGCTGTGTCAATGAGGTTTATTCTAAGTGTTTGCTAACAGACTTTAGCATTAATCACTGACTGATTCGCTAGCTGACAGGAGTTAATTACCAGTTACCATGAGTTCCGCTCCAAATCACCGTACCGTGAACGTCACGGAGACAGAGTCCAGCAAGCCCGTGTCTGCTGTCTCTTTAGCCGGACATGTCAAGCAGGTCTTGGGCCATGTGAAGATAGAAAACCTGGTCGCGGGACTCAGTGGAGGTGTGGTGTCAACAATGGTGCTTCACCCTCTGGACCTGGTCAAAATCAGGTTTGCAGGTAGGCTACTGTAATACATTGTACTTTATCGATACGTGATTGACAATTGTCCATAGTAATAATGTCATTAAAGTCATCTGCATTTATCCACTTTCATGCCATTTAGAAATATGACATCTTAAAATAGATGTCACCATGGTACCATGCTGCTATGGGCAGTGGTGGAAGGATATTTTACTTAAATTAGGTGTAGTACAAATCTGCCATTCGAAAAGTAACTTAAGTAAAAGTACAAAAGTATTCCCATCAAAATATACTTACAGTTCCATAACTTAAAGTACTCATTATGCAACTTACAAATTAGTTATCTAATATATCATATTCCAATAGACTATTTATATTCTATTTGTATTTACTTGCACTATTTTAACTATTGTATCTGTTTTATTGTGTTGCACTGTTGGAGGAACCTGTGACCTAAGATTTTCATTGATATTCTACAATTGAATCTTGAATCTTGAAATGCAGAATGTTCATTTTTAGAATAGTATATATTTTATCACTGGATTATAATTAGTGATGTTTTAATTTTGCTGGTGGTAAGGGTGGAGATACATTACTTTGTATACCGCCAGGTATCTTAATCCATAATAATGTGTCATATTTCAGTCGCCGATAAAAAAAATTGTATTATTAATGTGAACCTGCAAAGTCAATGGTAACGTATCTTTTCAAATACATTAAGTGAGTACAAGTACGACATTTGCTTCCAACTTGTAGTAGAATTATCAAGTAGCATAACATGGAAATGTTCGAGTAAAAGTAGTATTTATTTTTTTTCACTACTGGCTATGGGTTACCTTATTTCATTTTATAAATTATTTTGGTCTTATGTTGAATTCAGATCTGTTTTTACAAAGGTCTTTTTTGTCCTTTCAATGTAGTGAGTGATGGCTTGGATTTGAGACCTAAGTACAGTGGCATAATGCACTGTATGAAGAGTGTGTGGCAGCAGGAGGGACTACGAGGACTCTACCAAGGAGTGACACCCAATATTTGGGGTGCTGGAGCATCTTGGGGTCTCTACTTCTTTTTGTAAGGAAGCCATAAACCTGTTGTATCATGATACTTTTTTAGATTTGTTTTTTAATGATCTGTAACCATCATATTTCCCATGTTGATCTCCCTCACAGCTACAATGCAATCAAAGGGTACACGAAGGAGGGCCGTCAAACGGAGCTGACTGCAACAGAACACCTGGTGTCTGCTGCCGAAGCAGGTTAGTTCTCATTCATAACACTCCGTTCGATGTCTCACTATGGGATGCGCCTCAACGCGTATGCAAACAGAAGCATCATTCTCATTACGCCAATCCTGATTGGCTGGTGATCTGACGTCAACGTCAGGGAATCCACCCATCCTTTAAGTAGCTTGCGCTACGACGCAGCGTCATTCAAACACCTCTTCTCGCTTCAGAGCACATCTCGATTTATCAGTAACCGGGCTAGCTTAACGGAGCGTCCACACTACAGCTTCAAAAAAAGCTTGGAGCTGGGCGTGTCTGAAGCTTGGGGATTTTATTCGAGCAACGCGACCAACAACCAATCACATGAATCTCCCGCCCCCGACATACAAAGCAAAAAAAACCAGGGATTTTATGCGAGCAATATATATATAAACTCCCCAAACAGGTGAAAACGTACCAGTTTCACCCACTGTCTCTGCCACCTCCCTCCATGACTGGTTCTTCCGGTTTGTATCCCGGTAGGTGAAGAGGGTCTGGTCATACAAAACCGGGTGATTTGCTACGGCGATAAATAATTTCTCCTCCATCTTTTTTTGAAATATAGAAATCAACGGCGGGATATCTCTCCCAGCTTAGACGCGGTTTGATTGGCTAGCGCTTGAGCTGTCAGATTTTCATAAACGGGATTTGATTGGCTGGCGCTGGCTACTCCGGCGTCAGAAGTTAAACATTGTTCAACTTCTGACGGCGGAGACGGCGGAGACGGCCCGCTATGCTACCCACAATTCAGTTCGGCGAAAAGCGAGGCAACGTGACGTCACCCCATTCAAAGTGAATGGGCAGACGCGTTGGAAACTGTTTTTGAAGCTGTCGACGCTGTAGTGTGGACGCAGCATAAAACGGTCCACAGACTGAACCCAAAGCTAACATTCGGTCGACGGGCGCTTGCCGGTTACTTTTTTGCTTTGCAAGAAGACTGAGCAATATTAACACACCAGGTCTGCTCGTCCTGCCTCGGGCTGGAACACGTCCGGGAGGCTATCGATAACCCCAGCTCGTGCGGGCATTGTACCCGCTTCACCATTAAGAGCCTCCGCCGACGGTTAGCACGCCAAGCTAGCTTGTCGGGACGGGACCCCCTCATGTCCACTGATTCGCCGGCCGGCAATCAAGACATGGTGGCGTCCGCCGCAGAGATTGAGCCCCGCGCTGTGTCAGGCTGGGGCTCAACAACAGCGACAGCCGCTGAACCGGAGCCCCACGCCGTGTCAGGCTGGGACCCGGTGGCGGCAAGAGCCGCGAGAGCGAAGCCCCGCGCTGTGTCAAGCTGGGGCTCCCAACTGGATCTCACCATGGTTCCACCCGCGGAGGATGTCCTGGAGTTGGACTATATGGAGGACGAAGAGGATACCTCTGAGTTCCTCCTGTCCGACTCGGATGAGGATGACATCTTCGTTTCATCGGCTCAGGCTGCAAAGTCAGGAGCGATGTCCGCTCTCCCGGGCGAAAGCACACCAGCTTCGCCCGTCCTAAGTATGGACTTGCAGGCCGTGTGTCAACGCGCTGCGTCCAGGCTGGACATCCCATGGCCTGAAGTGGCCAAGGAGACCTCCAGATCTCGCTACGAGGGGAAGAACTTGCCCCAAGCAGCGAGGACGAAGAGGCAGCTCCTTCCAGTCTTTCCGGAGATGCTGGACGAGGTGTCGGTCTCGTGGAGAGACCGCCCTTTTAGCAGCAAGGCCCCAATCCAGGGTGCCTCCTCCCTGGACTGTGACGGTATGGAGAGGCTCGGCCTGCTCCGCATGCCGCCCATGGAACCGCTGGTGGCAGCCCACCTCCAACCGAGGCTGGCTTCGACACCGAGCAGGAACCCCATGCTACCGGCAAAGGCAGACCGGTTCCAGTCAGCGATGACCGAACGGGCCTATAAAGCCGCAGCTTTGTCCGCCAGGACCCTCAACGTCTCCTCGCTGCTGACCGCCTACCAGGCGGAGCTCTGCGAAGACTTGTCGAGCAAACCTGAGCCTGCCGTGTGGGACGAGATCGCAGCGATCACGGACATTTGCCTCCGTGTGCAGCACTGTGCAGTCCAAGCCACGGGCAAAGCACTGGGATTTATGGTGGTACAGGAGAGAGCCAGGTGGCTCAACCTGACGAACCTTCCAGACCGGGAAAAAGAGGATGTTCTGGACATGCCTATTGTTCCCGAGGGCTTATTTGGCTCCGCTCTAGCTTCGATGCAGCTGAGATGCGAATCAAAAAGGAAGGGAGACGAGGCTCTCCAGCTCTGTCTCCCCCGAAAGGTCTAGCCGCCACCTTCAATGGTCCCGCGGCAGGCCTTCACTCAAGCTGCCTCGCGTCCTGCCCGGTTCAAGATACCGAAACAGCAGAAACCACAGCCCGTCCCGGGTCCCCAGCCCAGGCACGAGGCGAGGGGGAGCTGGCCAAGAAAATCTCCGGTTCCGGCAGCTGCCGCTCAGGCGCAGCCGACCCAGGTTTTCAGCCACCAGGCGAGGAAGAAGGAGCGGGCGGCCTGACAGCCTTCTCTCCTCGACGAAGGAGCTGGAAGTTCTCTGTTCCCCAGCTCCAGAGCACGTTACAGTGTTAGATGCTCATGTGTTTTCGGGGTGCCACCATGCCCCCATCTTCCCGCCGCCTCGAGTGATGCCAGAATGTCATCCTCAAGTTCGTGCCATCAGGGAAATGGACTTAACATCAAAGACAGCAAGTTCCGCTGCCTGTTTAAGTCACACAAACACAAGTCATCATTGTTGTTTCCTAATAAATTATTTTCCACTGTCGTTTCCAGGCTTGAAGCCAAGGGCGCAGTCAATAAAAATGAAAAGAAAAACAATAAACAGTCTGTCGTGGGGTACCACCGTGTTCAGACACTAGAGGGCCTCATAACACAACAAATAAAGACACTGAGGGCAGACGACCGAGCTGTGACATCTCCGCTCGCTTTGAGAAGCGAAAAGTGGAGGATGCTCACAGATTCTGCTTGGGTTTTCAAGACCGTAACACGGCACGGGGCTACAGGCTCCAATTCGCTGTCACCCCCCCTCACTTCTCGGGCATTCTGTATTCACAGGCCCGGGGAGAGTCGGCCCATATTCTGGAGCAAGAGATTTTCTCGCTACTAGAAAAGAGGGCTATATCGATAATACCCGCAGAACAGAGTCAGAGCGGCTTTTATTCCATGTATTTCCTCGTTCCCAAACGGGGAGGGAACGGAATTCGGCCCATACTAGATTTGAGAGCTCTGAACAAATATCTCAAAAGATACAAATTCAGAATGCTCACTCACACATCTCTGTTGCGTCTCGTGCGCCAAAACGACTGGTTCACATCAGTCGACCTGAAAGATGCGTATTTCCACATCCCAGTATATTACCCACACAGGAAATATCTGAGGTTCGCCTTTCAGGGTGTCTGGTACGATACAGAGTACTTCCCTTCGGTCTGTCTCTCAGCCCGCGAGTGTTTGTACGGTGTACGGAAGCTGCGATAGCCCCGTTAAGACAACAGGGTATTCGCCTGGCAACTTATCTGGACGATTGGCTCCTTCTCGCACAGTCGGAGCAAGAGGCTATTACGCAGACGAATGTCCTCGTAAAACACCTGCTCAACGAGGACATCATGTCCGCCAAGGGGGTTTGCGTTCTCTCCAGTTACACATGCTGGCACGCAAACTGATCTTATGGAGCTGCGGACGTCTAATCTCTGAGAGCAACGCACGTACCAGGAGTGATGAACCTCGGGGCGGATCTGCTGTTCAGAGGTGCACCACTATATGCAGACTGGACTCTACATCCAATAATTGTTAGTCAGCTGTGGGTGCGTTACGGCCGAGCCGCGGTAGATCTGTTCGCATCAAAAGAAAATGCTCAATGTCAGCTGTTCTTTTCAATGCGCGATTTAAACGCACCGTTAGGCGTGGACGCGCTCGCGCACGTTTGGCCTCCGGTCCTTATGTACGCGTTCCCACCCCTAGCTCTGATGCCCCCAACTCTGGCCAGAGTGAGAGAACAACGCCACACACTTATCCTGATAGCTCCGCACTGGCCAGCTATGTACTGGCTGGCGGAGATATAGCAGCTGCTGTGCGGGCAGCCGTGGCAGCTCCCACTACGCAGGGACATACTGTCTCAGGCGGGGGGGGACGATCTTTCACCCACACCCAGAGCGCTTGGCACTATGGGCCTGGCCCGTGAGTGGTACAATCTGAATACAGTGGGGCTCCCTCAGAAGGTGATAAACACTATTCAGAGTGCAAGAGCTTCCTCCACCAGGTCTCTCTATGACTGTAAGTGGAGAGTGTTTGAGGAGTGGTGCCTTCAAAAAAGGACATATCTCTTTTCAATGTCCTGTCGGGGTGATTTTATCATTTCTACAGGACTTAATTGATAAACACAGAGCTTTCTCTACGATCAAAGTGTACCTGGCTGCTATTGCTGCATGCCATGTGGGCTTTGAGGGAAAGACGGCTAGCCAACATCCTTTGGTCTGCCGTTTTATGAAAGGGGCTCGCAGGCTCCTCCCGGTTTCCAGGTCACTGGTGCCCTTATGGGACTTGGCAGTGGTTTTAGATGGGCTCACTCGACCTCCATTTGAACCCCTGGAAGAAGCTGACATGAAACTTCTGTCACTGAAGACAGTGCTGTTACTGGCTCTGGCATCTGCCAAGCGAGTCAGTGATATTCATGCGCTCTCTGTACATCCTTCATGCCCCGGGGCAAACAAGAGTGTTGTTGAAGCCCAACCCTGCCTTTATACCTAAGGTGGTTGGCTCATGTACCCCCATTGACATTGTGGCATTTCCTCCGCCGCTGTGTTCCTCTGAGGAACAGCGGCCGAATTTGCTGTGTCCAGTTTGTGCTTTACGCATCTATATGGACAGGTCAAAAGAGTTTCGTTGTAATGACCAACTCTTTATATCCTGGGCTAACCCTCAGAAGGACAAGCCCGTTACCAGGCAACGGCTCTCCCACTGGATTGTGGAAGCGATTGCTCTGGCTTATACGAGTCAGGGTTTGCAGGCACCAACGGGCCTGCGTGGTCATTCTACTCGTGGACTGGCTACATCCTGGGCTTTGTTCAAGGGTGTTTCCATCCAAGACATTTGTGCAGCAGCGAGCTGGTCTTCGCCGCTCACTTTTGTCCGCTTTTACAGGCTAGATGTCTCTGCTCCAAGTGTGGCCCGCGCAGTGCTGGGCCCCGTGTTGAGACAGAGTTCTACCTGTTAAGTTCTGGTTGTTTTTGGTGATTTTCGAGATAAGCATGTCTAGCAATACGGAAGTTTCAATATCCCATAGTGAGACATCGAACGGAGTGTTATGAATGAGAACTATAGGTTACTTACGTAACCCCAGTTCTCAGAGTAACATGAAGTGAGATGTCTCACCAGACGGCCCTTCTTGCTAAGGCGAAGCGAGAAGAGGTGCTTATTTTGAATGACGCTGCATCGTAGCGCAAGCTACTTAAAGGGTGGGTGGATTCCCTGACATTTACGTCAAGATCACCAGCCAATCAGGATTGGCGTAATGAGATTGATGCTTCTGTTTGCATACGCGTTGAGGCGCATCCCATAGTGAGACATCTCACTTCATGTTACTCTGAGAACTGGGGTTACGTAAGCAACCTATAGTTCTGCATGGATCTGAACACTGCTGCCATGCTAACACACCCACATTATCAGCACAACAACAGCCAGATCATACTGCTCCTAACTGGCCTCAGCTGACAGGAGGCAGAGTTCACAGCCCCTTCTGTTCACTTTAGGGTCACATGGGTCAGCTTCCTGCTGGACATGGGGAGTCAGGGGCTGGAAATGAAGCTGCTCCAAAATAATTAGAGAGAATTAAGGGAAGCCCATATTAGCCAATGTTAAAATAGATCCTGTAATTCACAATAAAAAACATCCTCGAAATAATGCCTTATCTCAAAGTAATGACCTAGTACATCAAAATAATGCCAAAGTATTTTTAAATAATGACTTCATAATTCAAAATAATGTATCACAATAATGTAAAAAGTATCACAACATGATGATCATTTTTCTCAAAAGTATGACTTAGTTTCTCAACAATAAATAATTTCTCAGTCACACCTGACTTGATTCCAAATGGCATTCAAATTGTGCAAAGGTGGAATTTAGGGTTGTAATGGGAGTCAGACAGCTTATTAGGGCCATTATATTAAAAAGGGGTGAGTAAAAAACTGAATATTCTCTTTTTGATTTATAAAAAAAGAGAATGAAAAAAACATGAAAAAAAAGTTGTTGTTTTTTTGTCTAGAAAACCCCTTTGCTTCAATTCCAAGGGTTAACCTCATCACACCACACATGCTGCTGCTTGCCGTGTCTTATGCCTGTAGTAAATTACCTAACCAAATTATACTTGGTAATCAGATTTATCAGGGACATCCTTGTGATTTGCGCCCAGAATCACAAGCACCGTGTCTTTAAAGAGACATTGCCCTGAATTGGGTCTAGACAAGAGAAAACAACAAATCAATTTGCAGATTTATGACTTTGTATATCAACAAATAATCAATTTATTTTCTCCTAAATAGACCAACTTAAACTGATAATATTCAGACCCTTTTTCCAAAATGAACAACTCTAATCACGCAAATTCTAAATGAATGTAAACTATAACTTGACCGATTGGGGAAGGCATACAATTGTGAGTTGGTAATTCTAGTTTTTACCTACAATTGCACTACTATTGCATCATAGCAAATAGCACTATACCAGCCTGTACTTTTTTAGGCAAATTGTATTCCTGACGTCTTTGTATAAATGTTTTGCCACACGGAACCACAACTGAACATATCATTTACCATCCCGTGCTCTGCCAACTTCAGTCACTGCAGTCTGTTAAACTGTTTTGTCTGGCCACCACCAGCACATCACAATCAATCTTACTTGACTAAGTGTCTCTTCTCTTGCTGAGGGAGAACCACTTCATCCTGTCTTGAGTTGCAGAAATATACAGAGAGAGGGAAAAAAGCACTGTTTGACAGAGCTGGCCGTGTGTGAGAACAATATTCCTAAACACTGAAGGTACTGCAGAGTCTCTCTTTTTTTTTTTTTAATGTCAGCCTCGTTCTAACATTGCCTGTTTTCACCTAGGCATCATAACCCTCACCATAACCAACCCGATCTGGGTGACCAAGACCCGGCTGGTGCTGCAGTACAACGCTGACCCCAGCAGTAAACAGTACAAGGGGATGGTAGATGCTCTGATCAAGATCTACCGCTATGAGGGAGTGGCAGGACTCTACAAGGTAATACATCACCATATATTTTCACTTCAATGTAATACAGCAATATATGCAATGATTATGTTAAGCTGTTTTGTAGAGGACTAATCAGGTTAAACTACCACACTACTTCAGCAAAAGTTGACCTTTATCCTACAAGGCTGTAAATCCTTTTTATGTGAATTCATTAATCCCCACTAGAGGGCATCGACAACCTGTATTAGCTGTAGTGGAGAACTTACAGGCCATGAATAATGGAAATAACAGCCTGACATATTACGCTTTATGTGTATTCTATCAGCCTGGCTGGGTAATTGCAATGATATTTGTCTGTATAGATCTGATCAAATGTAATTTAATTAAGCAGGTAGGTTGTTGTACCATGTAGTGGAATGTAAGACTGACTTTCAGAGCATTTATCTGTCAAAGGGTTATGTTCCTGGTCTGTTCGGAACATCTCACGGAGCGCTGCAGTTCATGGCCTATGAAGAGCTGAAGAGAGACTACAACAAATACAGGAAAGCGCCTTCAGATGCGAAGCTGGTGAGTCATTAACCACACGAGCCACAAACGGTCTGGAAACATGCTCAGTGATAATAGTCATAAAGCTTTACAGTTTAATAGGACTGAGCCCACAGTGGATAACTAGCAGTTAAATAAGTGAATCATCATTTTTCCCACCCTTGCTCTGCTCACTCCTCCCTCCTTCTGTTTAAACAGAGCGCATGGGAGTACATCACAATGGCGGCTTTATCCAAAATATTTGCTGTGGCCACAACATACCCGTATCAGGTGGTGCGAGCCCGCCTGCAAGACCAGCACAACACATACAATGGAGTTATTGATGTCGTCAGACGGACATGGAGGTATGAGACCCATCCACTCACAGAGAGGATACACATGCAATCCTATCCTCTGTTTCTAAATGTGGCTGCAGTGGTGAACTGTCCCTTTAAGTTCTGTCCAATTTGAATCATGTTTTCCATTTCTCTGCAGGAACGAAGGCGCCATCGGTTTCTACAAAGGCATCATCCCCAACGTGATCCGTGTCACTCCTGCCTGCTGCATCACCTTTGTGGTTTACGAGAATGTCTCTCGCTACCTTCTGGGAAAAAGCTAATAAGGCTCACAATCATGGCATGGACAGCTTTAAAGACTCACACTGACTTTGGTGCCATTCATAAAAACAGAGAGGAACAAATACATCTGAAGGTGATCTCACTGAATATGAAAATATTGCGTAACGGATTCAACATTGGATTATCAGATGCATGACAAGCTTTCATTCTGGGCAAATGAAGTGAGGATTTTTTTACGAGAAGAGTTTGATAAATATTTCAACATTGGCAGCAGGAAAGGATGACATGTAAACAAGCTAATGTGAAGTCTTCTCAGTGTTCCAGTTGCATGTGTGTGTAATATTAGTTATGTTGCTTTTAAATTATATATTTTTGTTTACACAGCAGCAGATCATTTTTGTTCCAAAAACACCAATTCAATCATCCCATAATTCATTTGTTTTCTGGCAAAAAATTGTAACTGCATTTCTTTCTAACATTTTACTATAACATCAAGAATGCTTTATCTGCATTGTCATGTATATGAATACAGTATATATAGTAATGTCTTACTATATTGAATAAAAGCAGAGAATTCATAGTTCCTAGACTTGAAAAGTAGTCAAAAAGTTGAGTTTAATTATTTAAAAAATATCACTTTATTAACAGTAATAATGAATATAAACATGTCACATGAGTACATAGTTTAAATATTGTCAATGACCGTTGAACGCTTACCAACAGCACCCATAAGCTGAAAAGCTACAGTACAAAGTTTATTTCTGGTAGACAGAATGACACAGTATTCGTTGTTATGGGCCTGTCATCTAGTATGGTATTTTAAGAAAATAAAAAAAACCATTCAAGTTACCATCATTGATGCTGTGGCGCCTCAGCAAACCATACCTGATAGTTTTGGAGGGCCAGATAACATACTGTCACAGTACCAGGACTGGTGCCTCCCTTACATGTAACTTTTTCATTTATTTGGGCAGCTCCTCAATGATAACCCTGGATACTGAATTCCACCCTGTAGACGCGTCACCTCTGGGATAGTCGTCGCAGGTCCCCACCCACACGGCCACATCCACCAGCCCTCCTTTGACACCCTCGCACAGCCCTTCAACTGGAGGGGGAGAAAGAAGACAGTTAAAATTAATTTCAGGGAACACCCAAACTGTCTCCAGAGATGGGACTTGTTAATTGTTTGGTTTCCTGACATGGTGGTGAACTTTTCAAATTGGAGTGTAACTTTATTTTAAAGATTGGTGACCAGACTTTACAACTGCAGTTAAATAACCACTTGAAGGAATATCTTGGCATTTTGTGGGTTTAGATGTATTGCTGTCTTGCCTAGATTTTGATTGGATAATTAATACCACTCTCATATCTGTTGAGCTACAAACAGCAGCCTGTTAGCTTAGCATAAGGACATAGGGAACACCTAGCTCAGTGTTTCTGAAAGTAACAGAAATGAATTAAAGAAGTACTTTTTTTATAAAAGGGATAGCTCTGCATTTTGTGGCTTATTTGCTCTCTTGCCTAGATTTAGATTGGATAATTATTACCACTCTCATATATGTTGAGTTAGAGACAGTAGCCTGTTAGTTTAGGACACAGATTGGTTAGGGAACAGCCAGTTTAGCTCTGTCCGAAGGCAACAAAAATGATTAAAATAAGTATTTTTTATAAAAGTGATGGCATTTGTGGGTTTGCTGTATTGCCTAGATTTAAAGTAGATCATTAATACCACTCTCATATACTGTATGTTGAGCCAGAGACAGCAGTCTGTTAGTTTAGCATAAAGACTGGAGATAGGGAGCACCTAGCTTAGCACTGTATGAAGGCAACATAAATTAATTATTATTTATTTGCTGTCTTCCTAGATTTAGATTAGATAATTTGATACCACTCTCATATATGTTGATCGACATACAGCAGCCCATTAGCTTAGCACAGAGACTGGATAGGGAACAGCTAGCTTAGCTCTGTCCAAAGGGAACACAAATAAATGAAATAAGTATTTTTATAGAAGGGATAGCTTGGCATTTTTTAGGTTTTGCTTTTTTGCTCTCTTGCCCAGATTTTAAATTAAAAGATTGATATCGCTCTCACATCTGTTGAGCTACAGACAGCGGCCTCTGTTAGATTAGGACATAGACCGGATAGGGAACAGCTAGCTTATCTTTGTCCAAAAGTAACACAAATGAATAGAATAAGAATTTTTTAATAAAAGGGGGGAATACCAAAACCTTGGACCAGTTACTCCCTGAAGGCAACCTGATTCTGGCCTATGTTCCCAGGGTCCCATGTTTTTTTTAATAAGACATTGTGGGAGAATGGCTATCCTCGCAGTTCAATTGCAAACGAGAAAAAAAGAAAAGGACTTTGTAATTATAGTTGTAACATTAAAAATAACTTTTAGCCACTGTTGAGATATTGTTTAAAGTCAAAAAAAGTATCTTTCCCACAAATTTGAAAGCGAAGGTCTCTTATAACTTTAGGCAAACCTATACATATATAGGGTGGGTGTTTTATGTGGACCAAGTAAAACATACAATAAACATGTCACCTAGAGAAAAAACCTTGCTGAGAACATAGGATCTTTGTAAGGTGTTTATAATTAGTTATGTCAAGTAGATATGGAGCAGGGGAATATGGGACCATGGCAGTTTAGAATCCTGGGAACATAATATGCTTTGTCCAGTATAACACTTTATGCAAGGGCGACATTTGATCTTTCTATACAATGTTTTCTGCTAATATTTACTTTGTGAGCTTTAGAGGTGCTGTAACTAAAACGTCCTCGCTCAGGCCTCGGGCTGCCTCGCTGGCCGTCCGAGGCCGTGGCGCATTTCCATTACAGTTTAGGACCTGGGGTAGCAACGCAGTGTAGGCGGGGCGATCGGCTTTGTTTTGTTCACATTTCGAGTTGTTCCGTCGAGCTCCCGCTGGATTTGATCATCCCCAATGAGATGTAGGAACGTCGTCACCTCCTCGGTCGACCACGGTGTGCTTTTCTTATTAGACGTAGCCATTTTTGTAGCTCATCCGTTTACAAAATGCTGTTTATAAAAATGCAGCAAGCTTGCTTCTAAATATATATGAGACGCTAGGGATGAACTCGCGCGCGATCTTGTGACGATTCTCTCTGACCAATCAGCAGTCGAGAGTGTTGACGTCACTAGTTCAGCCCTGGCCCTGGTCTGAGGGAACCACGATTTTATGGGGCCGGAAAGAGGGAAAAAGTACCCGTTAGCCGGTACTAGGCTATATGGAAAGGCCACCAAAAACTGGCCTGGCCGCTTGAGGACGGTTAAGGACGCTTAAACGGGGCTACCCCGTTGCAGTGGAAATGCGCCATAAGACACTTTACCTTTGAACAGAGCCAGGCTAGCCGATTCCTTAGCCTTATGCTATGCTAAACTAAGCTAACCTGATGCTGTCTCTAGCTTAAGCTCATCTAAAAAACATCTAACTCTCTAAATTCCCAAAGTGTTGAACTTCTTTCAACTAAAGTATTTTATAGCACTGTTAAAAATATGTTTGGTTTAGGTTTATCCTAAAAAAAAAAGTCCATGACTTTAAGCCGTACCTGAGGATGTTCTGTGGATGTTGATGGTTGAGTTGAGCTCAGGACTTCCTTGGTCTAAGTAGATGATGGACTCTATGGGCAAGGGTCCTGCGCACTCTGCTCCATTGAAGGTGAAGTACCACCTCTGGCAGCATGCATTCTTACACTTGAGTCTGAGGGAACCGCTGAAGAGGACTCTGAGGGCGCTGTCTGTACGCAGCTTGGTGAACGTACAGTCCTGCAACAAAGCAGAGGGACATCTTGTAGTTCTCAAACATTTCTATGGATTTGTGAAACGTTTGACTTGAAACAAGTCATTCAAGGTTTTGTAATACTTACAGCTACTTTACCCAGGTCAATCCCATAATTGAGAGAGTTCCAGGCACACTGCTTGTAGTTGGGCCTCCAGGGCTCTTCAAAGATCTCGTTGATGCACTCGCCTTTCTCGCCTTTCGGCCCGTCGCGACCTGGAATACCCGGCGTTCCCGGGATGCCGTTGGCACCAGGGTTACCCTCTCTGCCAGAGGTGCCTGCTGGACCCTGCATGCAACTGCCAAACTGGGAAAACAGGGAAAGAGGAAGTCATGGTAACATTGGACAATGAAAAGAAGTCATGGAACAACATCAGAGTCTGCTGTTTCCAACTTCCTGTTTTAGATTTTCTTTCTTCTCCCTGGGGGATGTTTCCCAGTTTAGGGCTGCATGCACCGTAGACACCTCAATGCTGCCATTCATCCAACCATCACACACAAGGAGCCAGATTACACCTCATATAAACAAATACACTGCCATAGGGCTGAAGTAAGTGTAAAACAGATGTGATCCATACCAAGCCAAAGCAATAGAACCAGCCATCATGAGGCCGTGAAGCAAGCGCATGACAGTGTAACTGTGTTAATGTGGAACCAATGGCTTGCTAAGGCTAAATTAGAAGGTGTTTGGCCACACATCTATCGGCGTGATTCATTGTCCAGCTGAATCCTGCTATGTTTAAACAGATGCTGCATCTTACTCAAGCTGACTCAGAAAACACTGAGACAGGAGAGCTTGCCAAAACTGCCCTGCCATATACAGAGATAGACACAATGAAGATCCAAATAGCTTTGCTTAAAAAGTTCCTCAAAGGGACATTTCGACCAACAGATTACAGTGTGTAGGTCAGCTCTTTTTTAGTCTGAGTTAGGTTTTAATTAGGGTTATGTGATATGTAAGTGTCACTGTCATTTACTCATTTCTTCAGGGCAGACATTAACTGACACGTAGAAGTGCATCCTTGCCATCAAGCAAACGCTGATGCCAAAAGGATTTGGGTCTGGGCTTTTGTTGGGTCAATCCTGCCCTTTAGCTCGGCATACAGCTGCGGACCAGTTATGGCGGCACATGGCCAAATGGCATTAAGGCAAAAAAAAAAACAAGCCAAGAGAGGGGAACAAAGAGCTTGTACTCAAGTTTCAACATCTTGTCTCGACTTTAGTCTCTGGGGTGAAGGAGAAAAATGTATTTCACATTATGGGAATCTGGAAAATACCTAAATATAGACAGAATTACAATATTCTAGTCAGCTGTGGTGAAAACAGATGGTTGGGAGTCTGTTTTAGCCATCCGGTGGCTGAGCTGGAGCAACCTGGAGATGTGAGGTCTGACATCATCTTTATGGGAAACTGGGACGTCTGAGATGAAACCATATGCTGCAATAGACCAGGAATTTGTCCTGAAGGAAACTGGACAGAACTTCTAAGCACCTAATAGATTGCAAAATGTGGAAATACGGAGTCCGCTTGGTTGATATTCAGCACGGAAACGTCTCCGAGCTTTATTAAGGGTTAGGTTTTGGACAAGTTTCAAAGCAGACTAATGAATGGAACCTCTGTCCACTTAGCTACAGCTGAGTTAAATATTAGCTTCCAGTCTGCTGTTTCTAGTAGTGCTGCCTGCCTGCATGAATTACACTCCAGCTCTACTTCATATTAGTAGCACACAGTTCATTACTGTAAGAGAAGCATAAAGGCTGCATTTGCTGAGGAATCTAGTAAATCGTGCATTAGTCAACACTGAAGCTGGAGCGTGCACAGCGGGAATAAAATGCTCAGCTTTGAGACTTTTAGTTTTGCAGAATCTCACAAGGTTGCAAAATAGGATTTTATGATTACCATTTTGTTCAAATTAGCAGATCTTTCTTCTCCAGAGTGTCTAGTGCAGTTGGGCTTTTCTGCATCATTTTCAGCGCACTAGATACAAATGGTAACATAAGATGCTATTCATTTATTATATCCTTTTCACTCATGGAATATAACTTTGGAAGGTAATAAAGAGCAACTGCTTGAACTCTGTGGTGCTCAAAGCGCAGACTTCTAGGAGCCCCTTAAGGGGAGGTCACAGTCAGACTCCAAGCAAAATAAACACCAGTTCCACTTTCATTTGACTCCAAGAGATTGGAGAGAGAAATGTGTGTCCACTTTGTTTCTTCACTCTCCACCTACAGCATGGAGGGTTATGCAATTCTAGACAAAGACAGTCTATGATTGAGGTTGGTGGGAATTGAAATGAAATAGTTTTTCTGCCAATTTTTTCAGATACACATAGATCAGCCCTAAAATGAGTCAAATCCCCCCCCCCCCCCCAATACCAAACCATTATTGCGTTGTTTAAACGTATGAGACAGCAGAGATAACATAGAGACAAACAGTATGAGCCAGACCCCAACTTCCTGTTAGGGGGGTTTCCTGTCCACTAGTCTGCTGGAGAGCAGCCAGATAATAGAGATCCATCTGACCACACACAAATATATAAAATAGGATTTCTCCTCTGCTGCTGGAACCAGGTCGTTTTGGAAACCGTTTCGCCAAAGTGATAACCACCCTAATTGTACTGAAAGCTTGAATCAGTTTATTACTTTTTGAATTTTTGGGAAATACTTCTGACAAAGTAACGAAAGGGTAATCCCAGGATGAGTTGGAACTTCACATGCAAAGTGCTCTATGAATGTTAATAGAGATGCATAAAAAAAGCACTAGATGACAACAAAGCCAGTCAAGTGCACTCATTACAATTTCAAATGAGCACATTTAATGGGTTTTCCGTTATGTGAAAGCACAACATTTATCCAAAACGCACAAAAATCCTGGATTGGAACATATCTACTTTTGGTAATGATTTTAACAGCCACACTATAATTGTAGCTAATCTCCCTTACCTTGTCAGCGTCAGGATCCTTTCGGTATCCTCTATTTCTCACCTTTTCCACGCCATAGAGAGGTAAAGCCAAGCAGACAAGCAGCAGCAGGCGGGCAATGAGAGGAGACATCATACAAGGGGAGGCAGTGTGTGCTCTGAGAGACTGCAGGATACTCTCAACAGTTCACTCCTACTGACTCACACTGAGAGTTAGAGGAGGGCAGGACGAGCAGCAGCCAGTCACCTCACAGAAACCTCCTCTGAGGGAAAAAGCATCAGAACATCCCTGTGATACTGCTAAGTATGGAAGAGTATTAGTGCCAGGGAAAAAAAGAGTGTGATTTATATTCCCTTTCAGTCGACTATCACTGTAAAGACAGTCATATTGAAGAAGAAAAAGAGAGAGTCAAGAATAAAGCCAAATATTGAGAATTACATTGAAATAATTTAGAGAATTAAGGCAACATGTTGAGCAAGACATAAGAAACAATAAATGAGGTGAAAGATGTTTTTTTTGCATTTTCTGAGTAATCTGGAAACATTAGGAAGAAAGTTTGAATGACTAGAATAAAGTCAAAATGTTGAGTATTAGGCCAAAATGCCTCGAGTGTGTAAATAAAAGTAAATGTAATAATTATATTGTTTTTGACTAGGTGGGAAGTAAAAATCATAAAAAGAAAAAACATTGACGCAAACACATTTTTATTCAATTATATTTTATTAAAATTGGATTGATACAAAATTCTGCTGACCAGATAGGCTACATACAAAAGTAAAAACAGCTGACAAAAGTCGTAAAGAGCATTTTGTAGACTACAGTAAAACCTCATTCACATGCCAGAATAAGAATACACAGGTACAAAAGAAAGGGACTGACAAAGATTCCCTTTTATATTGCTGTTTTTGGAACAGTGGCTCTCATATGCAAGGTATAGAACCTCAATGGAAGAAAAGATCCCAGCAAAGTACACAGGAGAGATTTTCACATAAAACACAGAGGTTGGTCTGGAAGTACTTAAAGGAGAAGGATATGGTCTGTGGCCATATGTTATAAATAACACCAGAACAACGCCCCAAATCGTCTCATTTTGTTTACGATGTTCATACCTAATTAATAGTGGTTTGTGCTTCCATTGACAAATAGTGCAAAGTCTGTTTGATTACTCTTCTACAATTGATACTGAATTTACACCCAGACCAGGAACATAGGCAGACATCACACATGCAAAACATCTGTAGGTTCTTTGAAGTTTTTAAAAAAAGTCACACATTCTTGTAGAAAACTATAAAGCTATACTTTCTCCAAACTTACAGGACACTTCTTTGAAGATGCAATAAGAGTTTGTACAACAGAAATAAGCATCAAGTGAATGTACAGTCTTTGATAGAGAACATAACATTTCAACATCGCCTAAACTATACCAAGTATAAGAGTCTGCCTTTTATCAAAAGAGTAATAATGTAAATTACAAGATGAGGTTTCAAGACAAACCGACTAGTAAGACATTCAATAAAACAGTTTACCGCAGGAAGTCCTTAAGTTGAATGTTTGGCAATTCCATGACCTTTCTTAAAATAGCTCTCAGTGTAACGACTAGTCCAGTGAAAGACTCCATTTCTAAAAAATGGAATATTTACATAAATATTGCATTTGTTTTCAAAAATGCATTCTATGACAATGAGGTACAAATCTACAAAACAGTAGTCCTAATGTTTTTTATGCATGCTATCAAATAAAAAGACCATTGGTGGTGTATAAGTAGATCATAGCTGTGCTGCTGCAACATTCAGGTGAAAGGCCAAAAGCTCAGTAAAGCTGAAATACAGTAATCTAACGCCTTTAAACTCACTGCTAAAAGTCTGGTCCAACATTCCACATATGAAATACTCAAGGTAGGTTACATTTAGCTGGATATGAACATTCAATCACTCAAATATAACCAATACAATCATTATTTGATGTATGACACAAAAATGGTTTGAAACGGATACATGAAACGGCATCAAGTGTGACTGGATTCGTGGATGGATGCATGGATGAATTTGGGGGGGGGGGTCAAATGTCTCAGCAGGTGCTGTCCTTTGTGTCCTTGCTCGCCTCAGGCACCTGGTTTGCCAGCTGGGGGGTGGAGAGCTTGATGCTGCTGTGTGATTGGTTTAGAGCCGTACGCTGCGGTCCACTGGTGACGTGCCTGACCTCTGACATCTCGCTCCTTGGAGTCATCCTGAAGCAGACAGGACACGTCAGGATATCTGTGCTTATTTATTGTACACATATAGTTCTGTATAGCAAGACAAACCGAATAATGGTGCCTTTTCACTGTATGGCACAGCACGGCTATACTTCTACTTGTTACATAGAAGAAGTAATTATCTCTCTCTGGAGGGAACTTTGGGATTTTAGCTTTTGCAGACAATTTACATGTAGAAAAAAAGCACAATAGGGCATCTTTAATATACAATATCATTCAGATGTGAGTTGAATCTTCAAAGGGATTTTCATGATCCTACAGAATTATTGATAATGTCCAGAGCCCAGTCTGCTCTGATTGGTTAGCTGGCTGGCTCTGTTGTGATTGGTCAACCGCTTAGAGATGTCCCGCCCCTTAACCTATCACGTACAATGTGTTGGAGTGGAAGCCAAAAGATGCGCAAGTGTTACATTGTGATGTCACTATGTTACAGAAGTAAACAAAGGAGTCCAATGGAGGCGTTTCAGGCAGGGGGGGGGGGGGGAGTGTGGGAGAGAAACTCCTTCTGCAGGGAGCTTTGGGATGTTAGCCTTTGCAAACCATTTACATGCACAAACACCTTTATAACACACTACAGGAAAGGCAAAACGATACAACTACAGACCTGGTGCCAAGAGTGAGTTGAGTCGGACCAAAACCATGCAGTGGAAATGAGGCATAATTACATCAACATGTGAAACACTGAACAACTGAAAAGAGAGAACATTTGATAACTTTGAGTGATTACAGGTTTGTCTCACTCACCTCCCATCTGGGACTCTGTGCATGCTTTCTGAGCGGCTGCTCATCTTAGAGGAGCCCCCCCCTTTGCTACGTCTCTCTCCACCTTCCCTCTCCCGATCTCTCTCCCTCTCCCCCCTCCTGGAGCTCCGGCTGGAGGTGCCCCTGTCCAGGTGCTCCCTGGCTGAGGCCTCGGACAGAGAACCATGTAACCGGGGATGGTGATTTCCCAGCGCGGAGGGTCCTTGATGGGTTGCCGTGGCAGCGTTGGATGCAGCGTTGGATGCAGCGTTGGATGCAGCGTTGGATGCAGCGTTGGATGCATCACCGGTGCTCGTGCCCATGGACTTGGAGATGACCTTAAGCTTGTGTGAGTTCGGGTTGTGGTGCTTCTTCTTGTGCTGCACGCGGCTGTTGTGCTTGAGGAAGAACTCACAGGACTCCTGCAGCACCCGGCGGCTCTCAGTGATGGGACTGTCGGAGGAGGACATGAGAGTTTAGTGAAACTATATATTTATCACTCATGGAAACTGCATTTTGAATAATAACAGGACACATCTTACTCTCTCTTGCGGGTCCTGTTGAAGAAGTAGGCCCACTCAGAGCAGGTTTTCTTACTGCTCACCCAGAACACTGCAGATATTCCAACCACCAGAGTCATTAAGTATTTGACCAGAAACAGGGAGAGGTCTGGGCGGTCGTGCTCAGTTGTCTGGAGCAGGGAGACAAATAAACCATGAAAGGATCCTTGTGGTAAAACCAATGTTTGACTCAAGACAAAATCCAGATTTTGAATTTATAAGCTCATTAACTGATATTTAATATATTTAAAAAGGGGACTAGTTTGCTTTTTTCTTCAAAATGTTTTAAGGGTAATCTTCTACTCTGCTCTGATCATTGTCACTCTGTATGGCAGCACACAATAGCTTCTGTATAACACATTACATTTTTTAGGTAAAAGTGTTTTATTTTAAATCAGCTTTTTAAAAATGATATGTTGTATTTGGGCAGCATTTTTCTTGATTCTGAATGCTATGTATTTAGTGTTTCTTTAGGAATGGATTTTTTGGCAAACATCTTTCTGGCTCAGAAGGCAGCTCACAAAAATCTTTGAATTGATGTATCCATTATTGTTTTAACTGCAATACAGTCCTCTCAATGTAACCTCGGTTTAGCCCTGAGCCTGTTTTTCAGGTCTCAGGCTCGAAAATGACATTCCCAGAACAAATGACCATATCTTCCCTTCTAAAAGGGGTAAATTAATAATCTTTGTTCTCAAAGCAATGATAAACCTGTGAGTTGAATGTAGAAAAGTCAGAATCAATATAGATTTTTTTTTATTTTAAAGTAAATTCAGATTGAACATAGTAAAAAAAAGTAAATGATAGTGTCCGTCCAAAAAAAAAAAAATGACTTATAGTGAAAACCACCCTTGAATGATGGGATAGTAGTTCAATATTTGACCTTTTTAGAGAAGTTTAGAAAACAAAACACCTCTGGGGTCATTTGGGTGCATTTTCTGTATGTCTGGCCACCCTCGGTCGATTTTGATGATTGACACCTCTTTTGAACCGTTAGAGCCAATAGAATCGAGGGGAAGTTCCTAAAATCCATCTAAACATTACCCATTGGTGAATGAGTGACCAGAATGCCCAATACCGGAAGCTGTCATACACTCTCGTAGCAGCTAATATGAAATCTCCATTATTGACATAAAAATGGAAAGATGGATTGTCAGTAATCATTTCAAAGTGACACAGAGACATTGGATTAACCTTCAGCAGCGTTTTTCTCGTTTTAATGCCATTGAACACAACTTTTGATCAGAAAACAACAAAGGTAAGACGTTTTTAGCCGTTTTGGCTCCGTAAAGCACATTTTGTTGTTGTTGTTGTCGTTTTGCCGCGAGTTCTGGTCGCTCAGTGATGATACTTATATGTCTGGAATCTGTGGAATCTCAGCTTGCTAATCGATATCTTGTTTGTGCAGATCCGATAAGTAATAAGGGTATTTTACCATTAGTTCTGTGCTAAAAGAGGTAACCACAAAGCGATATTTAACTGAAAATACTAGGGAAATGTTTACTCAGAATTTCTCTTCCACACTTGCCCCTGCCAACATCTCAGTAAATGAGCTAGTAGATCATTTTAATTCAAAAATTAAAAATGTTATAGATGCCATTGCTCCAACTAAAGTAAAGGAAGTGTCTGTCAAGAAAATATCTCCATGGAGAAAGGCCATGACCGTGAAAACAGAAAAAAGAGAATGTCGAAAAGCTGAACGCAGGTGGCGAAAAACAAATCTCCAGGTTCACTTTGAAATCTATAAAGAGAGACTTGGCCTTTATAATTTGGAATTGAAAAACGCACGACAATCGTTCTTCTCTGACATCATTACCAAAAACAAAAACAACGCACGTGCCTTGTTTGCTACCGTCGACAGACTAACTAACCCCCCAGTGTCAGTAGCCTCTGAATTTCTATCCACCAGGGCGTGCAATGATTTTGCCTCCTTTTTCACTGACAAAATTCAGAAAATCAGACAAGCAGTCAGTGCCTCTGCATCAGGAACAGCAAATGTGTTGTCTCTGTGTCCACTTAACATCAATTCAAACACCATGACACAATTCCATCAGATTAATGATAAAAACCTAGAGGACATTATTCAACTTCTGAAATCCTCGTCCTGCTGCCTTGATATTATTCCAACGGGATTTTTCAAAGATGTTTTGCCTTGCATGGCCTCAGATCTACTTCATATAGTAAACAAATCTCTTCACTCAGGTATTTTTCCACAGGCCCTGAAAACTGCAGTCATTAAACCGCTCTTAAAAAAGAATAATCTAGATGCTTCAGTAATGAACAATTACAGGCCCATATCAAACCTCCCATTTCTAGGTAAAATCATTGAAAAAGTTGTTTTTCAACAGTTGAATAATTTCTTGCATTTAAATAACTGTTTGGATGTGTTCCAGTCAGGCTTTCGTCCAAACCACAGCACTGAGACTGCTCTTGTAAAGGTCTTTAATGACATCCACTTAAACACAGACAGTGGCAGAACTTCAGTGTTAGTATTATTAGATCTCAGTGCTGCGTTTGACACTGTTGACCACAGCATATTACTAGACCGACTGGAAAACTGGGTGGGACTTTCGGAAACAGTTCTGAATTGATTTGAATCCTACTTAAAGGACAGAAACAACTTTGTTTCTATAGGTAAATACACATCTGAGTTGACAAATATGACATGTGGGGTTCCTCAAGGCTCCATCTTGGGGCCTCTTCTCTTTAACATCTACATGCTACCACTGGCTCAGATAATGAAGAACAACAAAATAAGTTACCATAGCTATGCAGATGACACACAAATTTACGTGACAATTTCACCAGGAGACTATGCTCCAATTCAAACACTGAGTAAGTGCATTGAACAAATCAATGACTGGATGTGTCAGAACTTTCTCCAATTAAACAAAGATAAAACTGAGGTAATGGTTTTTGGAGCCAAGGCAGAACGTATAAAAGTTAGCGCTGAGCTTCAGTCTGCAATGTTCAAAACAACAGATAAAGCCAGAAATCTAGGTGTAGTCATGGACTCTGACCTGAGTTTCAACAGTCACATTAAAACTGTTACTAAATCAGCCTACTATCACCTAAAGAATATATCTAGGATTAAAAGACTAATGTCACAGCAGGATTTGGAAAAACTTGTCCATGCTTTTATCTTCAGTAGACTGGACTACTGCAATGGTGTCTTCACAGGTCTCACTAAAAAATCTATTAGGAAGCTGCAGCTAATTCAGAACGCTGCTGCTCGAGTCCTCACTAACACTAAGAAAGTGGATCACATCACTCCAGTTCTGAAGTCTTTACACTGGCTTCCTGTGTGTCAAAGAATAGATTTCAAAATACTGCTGCTGGTTTATAAAGCACTGAATGGTTTAGGCCCAAAATACATTTCTGACCTCCTGCTAAATTATGAACCATCCAGATCTCTCAGGTCTTCAGGGACTGGTCAGCTTTCTGTCCCCAGAGTCAGAACTAAACATGGAGAAGCAGCGTTCAGTTATTATGCTCCAAATATCTGGAACAAACTCCCAGAAACCTGCAGGTCCGCTGCAACTCTGACTACTTTTAAATCCAGGCTGAAGACTTTTCTTTTTGTCGCTGCTTTTAATTGAACTATTCATATCTTAGACTGCACTGTAACTTTTATCCATGTACTTTTTTTCTTTTAATGTTTAATTGATTAGCTTTTCTTTTTAATGACTGATTTTAAATGCCATTTTCTTAATCTCTTTCATTTTTTGTAAAGCACTTTGAATTGCCTTGTGTTGAAAAGTGCTATATAAATAAACTTGCCTTGCCTTGCCTTGCCTTGCCTTGCCTTGCCAAGTAAGTTAGCATTTTTTCGCTCAGGGCTAATTCAGAGCCTTTGTTATGAACCTTTTGTTGTTCTAAAAATTGTTAATATTTTCTGAAAGCTGAGTTTCTTCCCGTTAAGTGAGTATGACACATTCATAGTTTGTTAAATGTTAAGAAGCCCTCAGACGCTGTTTCTTGTAAGATGTTGAAATAATAATCACCAGATAAATCGTTCAGAACTAAAACACCTTCTTCACATGACTGAGCCACAGCTACCTTGTAGGAGCAGGGGATGCTGTACTCCTGGCAGCGGTCGTTGATCCAGGTGTTCTCCCAGCTGCTGCGGTGGCTCTGCTCGTAGGTGTAGCAGGCCAACAGGGTGACCAGGGGCACCAGGTAGAGGCAGCTGAACACGCCGATGCGGATCATGAACTTCTTCAGCTTCTCCTGGTTGCGCTCGTCGTGCTGGATGACCTGCCGGACGTGGTTGAGAGAAACGATGCCCGCCAGGATGAAGCAGAGGCCGATGACGACGCCCACGCACAGAGGAGCCAGCACGAAGAAGCGCAGGGCGTCCAGGTCGTACAGCCCCACGAAGCACACCCCGCTGATGTTGTCCCCTTCGACCTTGTTCAGAGCCAGCAGCATCACGGTCAGGGCCCCGGGGATCCCCCAGGCAGCAGAGTGGAACCACACCTAAAGACAGAGGACACAAGGTCAATATTTGAAAGAAAAACAGGGGTTCAATTGGGTCAGCAATGTCTACGAACCACCAGAGACATTTACATAAAAGCTAGGGAGCTCATTTTGAGGTTGATAATTGTATTTTGTGGCTCTACTGTGAGATGCTTTAAAGGTCTATTTTTCTCATACTGCCCGTGCTGCAGCACCTCTTTTCTTTAAACTACCCTCCACCACCTGTCAACACAAAGCCCCCCACATAACAAATCCCAATTGAATCCATCACACAACCACCCTTTTCCTGGCTTTTTATATCTTGCAAATGTTATGTTTACATTCTTCTTTTCTTTGCTGCTGCTACTCGAGATGAGACGTCATTCTTTAAAACCTCACCGCTTTCTTATCTATGGCCTCACAGCTCCACTTGGGTCCGGCTGCCAGGAACCAGGTGATGGTGAGTATGACCCACCAGACGTTCCCGGCGATGGAGAAGAAGTAGAGCAGCATGAAGATCAGAGTGCAGCCTTTACTCTGAGAGCCCAGCACCACCGTCTCCACGCCGGCAGGATGAGACGCTTTGGTGCAGGCGGCATGGTTCCCCAGCAGGAAGCCGATGAAGTAAATAAGCGACACAAAGCTGTAGCACACGGCGTAGAAGATGATGGGCCGCTCCGGGTAGCGGAAACGCTTCACATCGATGAGGAAAGTTAGGAAGGTGAAGAGCGTGGCGCCCAAACAGACGATGGAGCAAACGCCGATGAAGTTCTTGGCAAATTCGATGTCATGGGGTTTGAAGTACATGTTGGAGCAAGGCGGCGCACAGTCCTCTGCGCCCAGGAACGATGATGAAAGGCCCGGTTTGGTCTTCAGCTGCAGCGGGCACCAGAAGCCCAGGTCCCTCTTAGCTGAGGAGGCGGTTATTGGGGTTGTTGCAGGAAGTTCTGGATCACCAGGAGAGCTACATGGGTCGAGTCTAGTTGAAAAAGCAAAGAAACACATCTTTCAAAGGATTGATAATTAACAATTTCTAGTGTGGATTTCCTATAAATGTATTGTTCGTACTTGTCACACTGTAGCTCAGGAGGCCAGGTGATGCCAAAGATTCGGATATTCTCCTCGCAGTCGGAGAGAACCGTCTCGCACTGCTCTCTGCACGGACGGATCACCTTGTTATCCTCGGTGCATGCTGGGATAAAGGCTTGGCACAGGAAGTAGTGGACGTCTGGAGAGCAGCGCAGGGTTGCCAGAGGCATAAATGGCTGGAGAGAGAGAGAGGGACAAGTTACATTTTATTGAAGAAAAGAGGTTGTGATCTATGTGTTTTATAAATAGTGACTTCTATGTAACACTCGTGCTTCTATTGGCAAGCGCTACAACACATTGTTCGTGATAGGCTAAGGGGCAGGACATCTCCAAACAGTTGACGAATCACAACAGAGCCGGCCAGCTAACCAATCAGAGCAGACTGGGCTCTGGTTTCAGACAGAGGGTGAAAAGAGGTGCTGCAGCACAGGCAGTATGAGAAAAATAAATAGCTTTTTGAACATTAAAACATGGAGACGTGTCACAGTAGAGACACTAAAGATAAATATTAAACTGAAAAGGAGCATAATGGGGTCCCAAAAAGCATAATACATATTAAAGGGCCCATGTCATGCTTTTCCGGTTATTACCCGTCCCCTTGTGTGTTATGAAGGTTTTTCTGCATGTAAACGGTCTGCAGAGTCACAAACCCTCAAAGTACACCCTGTAGCGAGTAAAACTCTAACACAGAAAAGACCTGTCTCTGCTGCCCCAGAACGCCTCGTTGGACATTTCTCTTTTTCCATTTGTTTCTTCCGGGAACCAAAATGGACCAATCCGCGGAGCTCCTCGCACACCAGGATCCCTTGGCGTCACTATCAAACGCAGTGGGGGGGACCTTTAGCGTAAATGTTCAACTAACAGGGAGTCCCATTGACTTGCATAGAGCTCCCTGGTTGGTAGTAGACGAGTTGGGATCACGGAGAAATGCTCTCCGCAGACCCGTTCTCACAGCGTTATAAACCTTTTTCTTACTCAATATCAAGCCACACTTATTGTTTTTACTTCGGCTGTGAGTGTTTGTGTGTGCTCAGGATGAGTTTCGCGCTGTCTCGCTGTATCGCCGACCCGGAAACCACATCAGTAAGCCAGCTCACTGAGCAGCGAGCCTCGCAACGTCCCGACCAATCAGAGCACACTGGGCTCACAGGGAGGGGGGGGGCAGGAGCTCCAACAAGCCGTTTAGGACAGAGAGTGAATACACATACTATACAGAGATGCTGTGAGAAATCAATGTGAGTTTGGAAAATTGCACAATATAAATCTATTCTAGTAGACCTCAACTATGGAAATATGATCAGTAGAAATGGCCATGACATGGGACCTTTAAATAATATTGTTTTTTTCTTGTGATGCTTACATCTCAAGTTGTGATGTTGGGTCAGTTACTTCCAGTTAGTTTGAAAACCCCTGCCCTGCAAAGAAGTATTCACTCTTAGTTGTTGATCTGCAGTGATCCATAGCGCTTCGCTTCATAAAGGGGTCCATTCACTGGCTGAGAACCATTTTCTTCCATTTCAACACGCTGGTCAGAAGATTACGGACTGAGATGGGAGGGGGGGGGGGGGTATAGGTGGCAGGAAATGACTGTAGGGACGTTGGGAGGCAGGAATGCACAGAGCTGTTGATAGGTTAGTCTGCTGCTGAGCCACAGTATTATTGTGTGGATTTATCAGCAGCATACAAGGCATACACCGAAGACAACTTTATTCAAGTGCAACAAGTCCAGATCATGTCCATGCCAATGTTTTTTTAAATCCTTGGTTTGAAAGTAAATGCATAGTTTTTAGGCTCCTTTGTTATTGCTTCTTATCCACTTATATGTTTAAGAGTCTCTTTGTTTGAACCTTCATCAGAGCAACATGCCCAGACAGACTTCTATACAGTCTATAATGCTAATATTTGTACAAACCACACACATAGACTCCAACACAGTCCACTACTCAATGCTCTTTTTTTTCTGAAATCCAGTCTGGCAGAGGGCCTGTGTCTCTGGGGCCTGGGCCCTCCCCTCTGACAGTAAGCGTCCTTGTTTCGCTCCTGTGGAGGTCCTGGACTCCGTCTCAATGAGCTCCCCGTTGCTCAACAGTCTGACCTTTATTTGCTTTACGCCAGTTACTGTTAAAACTGCCCTCCTTTCAAAAACCTTCAACCCAGTTCAAGTTGAGCAGCTTTTCTCTCAAAGGCGAAATCCTCTCTGCGGATAAACTCATAGCACATACTTCAAGGATTAAAAGGTTCGAAAAAGTATGTACAAATCTGACTTTCCTCAAACTTTTAAGAGCCGATTGTCTATGACAGTATGTCAACTAGTCTTTCCATTCTCTTTGTATTCCAACCTTTTACTTTGCTACTTCAAAAGCTGGCATTCACTGGTGGAATCTGGGGCCAAGGGTGGAAAAAGGTTAGCCCTCCGCCGGAAAATCCTACTGATATGCTGGACTGAAGCAGAAGCCTGCTTGATTACAGCGTCAGGCCTTTGGGATAAATCCCTAAAAGCTTTCAAAGAGAGCTGTGCATAGAACGTAATGTGTGTAAGCCTGTCACCTGGGAGACAGGAGCGCAGAGGTATCACCGTGTACAGCGGGGGAAATGAGTGAGTGATTAACAGAGAGAATACTCATTGTGGTATGCAGGGAAGGCTTTGTGTCAGACTGGGTGTGTCCCTCCCCTTCCTCCAGAAATCAAAGGCTGCTCACAACAAAGTCTGTGAAGTTGCCCGTGGCCAAGGCTGCTGTGAAATAAGAAGCCTATACCTTTGCCAGATGCCCATACAAAAAACTCCTTCAACAGATCACGGTACATGCTCAACACCCTGACACCAAATGTGTGTAACTGAACCCTGGCGTTCAGGAATGCCAGGATGCAGCTAATACAGGAACTGAGCTAAGGAGACATGAGACAACACCTTGGTATAAAGACAGAAAAACAAGCCCACCGACTGAAGTAGAAATGTGAATTGTTTTTATGAAACTATAATGACACTGAAGCTGTTGTGAGTGCATATATTTTTTAAAAGAGGTTCACTGTTTTGTTGACATATTTGTGAAAACAGTGCTTGACCATTAAGACTCTGGAACAGCGTTTCCCATGGCAACAGTTGACTAACATTTCAGTTGCTAGGAGACAAACTTTTATGATGCATCACAAACCTGTATTACCTAAAACAGATTGATGATATGAAACATTTGTACCCTTTTACAAAAAGCACACAGCTTAGGTTGTGTAGCATTAGCGTTGAAAGACATCAGACGTCTGTCTCTTTACAACAGTTAACATTCAGAAGAGGACCCATCATATTTGTGGTCTACATGCAAAGAGGAAGCTGAGCACCTTTCTCACTAGCATGCTGGGCTCAACAGAAGGGTTCAAAGGTATCGGCTTTTTGCCAATATCCCATATGCAGAAATATTCCAATTCATTTTGGTACACATTTGTATCCATCTAATTGCAGCAAATGTATTAAGTCTCTCCTGCAGTGGAATAAAAACATTATTGTGCCTACAGTTATCTTGATGGGCCATTAGCAGTGGCAGACAGGAAATACAATGTTTTTTCAAATGCTTGGTTTTTGCACATTTGCGTCATCCCATTAGCCTAGGTCATATTGAAGAAGATTTAACTTATTGTCTTATTGTACAGGTACTATGTAACGAAACGGTTTCTCTGCATTTGACCCATCCTAGTGTTAGGAGCAGTGTGCTGCCATTATGTACGGCGCCCGGGGAGCAGTGTAGGGAATGGTGCCTTGCTCAGGGACACCTCGGTAACACTTGGTCTTTCCGGGACTTGAACTGGTGACCTTCCAGTTGCCAAGCCAAGTCGCTATGGACTTTGCCACCACTGATATCAGAGGTATTGCTCATTTTTGGCAGATTTCATTTTCATTCAAAAAGTTGTATCTGCTGATAAGGATAATGTGCCAATATTAATGAGCATAATTTCTTAATAGTACATTATTCATATTTTGTATCTCTTTTTCCAATGCATCAGAGAGTGGCTGGACTAAAAGAGACAACTTAAACTGCAGAGAAAAGTGTGCTACCCTCTGACTTGTATGTAACCCCCTCTATCAGAAGTATTCCCTTGTACAGTAGATTGTTACCACGAGTGATATCTTAATCTACTTTTCCTATCTTAATGTAACAGTAATCTTAATGTATGGATACAGTGTTAAATACCTTATTTCTTTAAATAACCCAGCACCTACATTTTTGTGAGGCTATGATGAAACATTTAAAAAAACGTACTTTTGACAGCTGAGAATTCAAAACAAGTCTGTATATTCAAAGTTTTCATGATAATGACCATTCCATTTCAACTGTTTATTTGCTACTAGATAGTACTCAATGACCACCAGCCATGATTTGTAGACAGATTATGTATGCCTGTTGATGACCATGACATAATATGAATAATGGTTCAATCAATATGCACTTATGCATGCCGACGGACACTAACATTTACAGAGTTGGGCCACTACCAGCACTAATAATATCACTAAGCATAACGATTTCCTTGAGATGATAAACACTGTCGGTAAACGTGACTTGAATTAAAATTGCATTTTCAACAACAAGAGTCTCTTTTCTATTAACGGTCAAAATAAATACAACCCACAATGGAAACCAAGGCTAGATTCTTTAAAATATTGTATTTTAAGGTTGAACAAAGGCAACTTATTCCAAACTGGTTGACAATATCACAGATAAGGTCGGCATTAGCACAAAATTGATTAGGTGAAGTCATAACCAAACAACACATACAATATCTAGTAAATATGGAAATAGTTTTCAAATAAGACATCAATGAAATGGAATTGGCAGTAAAAAAGACTGATTGGCTAATGCCCAGCAAGGCCAATATTCGCCTAATTACAATGCATCATGTGTATTGTAATGAAGACTCACCTCCATATTGCTGGCTGCGATATCTTGGTCGTAGTGCTCCATCATGTTGGGAAAGAAGGTCATGTTGTAGGGCATCCCCGAGCACCGATGCACTTTGATGGGCTCGCAGGTAAACAGACTGTGGGCACTGCAGCTTCCCACCCACATCAGAGCCAGGCACGGCCATAGTGGTCCACACATCCACATTGCTGATAGGGAGTGGTTTTGTGTTCTTTATGTAAACTGGAACAGTTTTTCTTTTTGGCTTAGTGGGAGGATATCTTGGCCCAAACGTTGAATTCCCTTGGCTCACACCGTCATCCGCTTTTTAATTCTCCTGGGATCATCTCAGTGGAGCCGAAGGGCAGAGCAGCAGGTAAAACATTCCCATCCTTGGTCAGCACATGTCTGGGGATCACAGCTAGGAATCCACCATCCCTGAGAAATAACAAAAAGATATATTGGAAATGGGTTTATACCTTCAGCTTCCCCCCATCACCACATTTCAAGATTTCTCTTGAGGAACCTCAGCAAGTGGTTATTACCGTATTTATTCAGAATTGCAGAGCAGAGACAGACGAAAGCCCTGACATCAAAGCAGTCTATCACACAACCTCTCATTGTGCGATCACCTAAAGGGCTGAATTAAGCTGAGCAAATTCAAATGCATTTATCTAGGAACCACGGCATGTCCCTTGAAGTTCTCAGGCTCCAGTTAGGGGACTGTTTAAAGACATATCAGTTAGTACTATTCAGGAAAACAAAATCCCTGTGCTCACTTTAAGGTCATGCAGACAGGGTGGGGAATTCTAAAGATCAACGCTGATTCAGTAGAATGAGTCTCAGCTTGTAGATGCTCATTAAACTTCACATTAAAGTGTCACTGTTTCACCTTCACACACTTATTTTATGATTTAAAAAAGCTCTTCAAAGCCTGAGAGACGGTAATACTTTCCCAGTGAATAAAAAAGCAAAGTATCATGAGGTTTTGTTTTTCAAATGGGTCATAAATTCACCACTTTTGGATATTAGTTGTGGCTACAGTCTGTACAACCTACTACTAACACATGTATACAGCGGTGGAAAGTAACTAAGTACTGAACTCAAGTACACATTTGAGGTGCTTCAATATATATACTACTTCATGCTTCTACTAAACTACATTTTGGAAGCAAATCTTGTACTTTTTACTCAACCACATTTATTTTACAGATGTATTTACTAATTACTCTATACATTATTGTTAATATTGTATTCTATTCTGTAATGAGTGGTTTTACCCCAATACTTAAGTACATTTTCCTAATCATTCTTGATGCAGTACTTTTACTTGAAATGTATTTTATAGTGTGGTATTAGTACTTTGACTCAAATAAAGAATCTGAATACGTTTTCCAGCACTGCATACATGTCTTATAACAAGTAGTTGTTTAAGTATTTTGTATGAAGATAGTGTCTTTTAATAACAAAGATAAGTTGTTTAAGTGAGTTGAATTCCTGATGATTATCATATGTTGATATCATAACTAGTGGTAACAGTTTATCTAATATTACCACACTGTTTATAACCACCTTTAACAATATTCTATGTTTAGATTATAGGCATGTGAATTCCATAAACTGCATATATATAATAGTTTGAGCTTCATGATAATAGAAACAGGGTAAACCACTTTGGTTATGCATTAGCATAAACGTTTAGGTTAGCATATTAGCAATGATTAAAGACACCCTAAAGGTTAGCAACGCAGACAGTTAACACAAGCAAGCAGGCAACAACTCAATGTAAGAAGCAAACACGAACAGGTTAGAACAAAGGAAATTGAATTCTTCATAAGACATATTCAGGACATGGCATATCCACGAAGGAAAGTGCCATAATGTGTTCAGGAAAGCAGTTTTCCCGTAAATTAGACGCCAGCGGCGGTGAGGGAGTTCCAGTAAACATCCATGCCCCCGGTCGCTGCCATGGGACAGTGGCCGAAAATAAGTTCGGTAAAACGTGTAAAACACTATGAGAGTTAAACAATAAAACACAAGCACTTACCCCCAACTATCCGGGAGTTTTAGTAACAGCTGACTACATGGAGCAACTCTGTGGGGAATTCGGTAGCGTGTTTCCTGCGACAGGCTCCAGCACAGTCTTTGCTTGTCGGGCTGCTGTAAAGCGAAGCTGCGTTCATGTACATTTGTAAATGTCACCACTTCGTTAAAACCCGATGTCAGCGCTTAATATTTTGTCCGACGTTACCTTTTAGTTAACCATTTAAAGTTATAATGGTCTTGACGTTTTAGATGTGTGGTAACTTTTAGATACAAATAGAAAAAAATATAGTAAAGAAAAATTGTGTTTATCTGAGTGCAAAGGTGCACTTGAACGCGTCATGTGAGGTTTAGGACAATACAAGACCATAAGTAATGGCAAGGAATTTTCTAAAACAGCAGTTGAAATTCAGATTTAGTTTAGAAAGTCAATGTGTGTATACATTTATACAATATTCTTTGTGAACTTCCATATCAACAGAAGGTGAAAAGACGAGTGTATGCTTAAATTTTCCAAAATGGAAATCAGTGATTGATCAATTTAATTCAGACAGAACTAAAACGCATAAATACACAACAGTAAATACAGCTAGTGAAAAAAAATAGAAACAACACATTTCATCAATCAATCTCCTGAAGCTGAATGTAATATATTTCACATCACAATGCCTGTTTCATGTATGATGTAGTAAATATGCTCAACAACTGTGAGATCTTGTCCCAAATCATTACCCATTGCATACATATAAAAATACTAGGAAACATCTTATGAAGGGTTCACATAGCCTACGATATGCTCGATCTTTAGTGTTGTTTGCAGAGGACCACAGGTATAGAATAAGGTTGATAACATTATAAAAATGTCCTACCTGTGTACTTTACTACTCTAAAATGTTTTTAATGTGTACCATTTACCCCTTGATATATGTCTTTGCTTGTTATATTTTGCTTATTTTAAAGCAATGTTAAGACTGACGAAATTACTGTTTTGGGACCATTTTTGCTTGTAAATGTTTCTGTATCGTACATGAACTCTCTGAAATTCTCTGTCTTAATTAATACGTTCTTTCTCTTTATTTATATATCTCTATTATGTCTTAGGATAGTTGTATTTGTATCTGTTTGTGAATCAAATGAGTTACTTAAAGGTGGGGTATAGTTAATTCACTTCAGAAACACTTTTTGTTATATTCAATGGAATGCTCTTAACATCCCGATAGCAATGAATACATTAAATGCTTTGACAATAAATACATACACAAATGCATATGTGGAAGCCGTAGCGCTGTAAAAAGCACGACCAATTATTTTAGCCGGCTCGGCTAAAATAACTGGATGGCCTACCTGCCTGTCAGCCTTCCATCTCGTGCACAAACTTATCTCGTGCCCTCATTGGTCATGTGCGGGTTCGTGTGTGTTGGAGGAGGGGCTCTGTAAGGAAGTCTGAAAAGGATAGAGGGTGTCGAGGGTGTCGTTTATTCTTCTTTTTTCTCATACTGATATTCTGAACAATCTGTGCTGTTGTATTTGCTGTAAAGTGTCTCTACTGTAGGCTAATTTTATTATATGTACAGCACTTTGGCTCGACCAAAAATCGTTTATAAATGTGCTATATAGCCTAAATAAAACTTGATTTGATTTGAAAGAAGGGGCAGATTTTTTTCGGATGCGTTGTTTCAAATTCTAGCGCACTCGAGCTGGTTTCTCCAATCTTACCTACCCTACCTTTAACTTAAGTGCAGTAGCCTACTTGAGTACATTCACTCAGGTATACATTCCACCACTGGGAGCAGTATGGTGTTAAATAACAGCACTTGGCATTAATAAATGCACCCCCACCTATCATAGTCTATTACTCTATTATATGAGCTTGCCGTATCCCAATTATCCACCAGAGGGCGCTGTTTCCTATCTTTGTCCATATTCATGCGACCGCCGTGTAGAGGCGGGGTTTAAAACCTAACAATTTAGGTGCTACACTGTAACCAATAAAGTGTCCGCGATAACAACGCTCCTTTTCTTTCTCCGCGGATGTAGGAGAGCCCAACCTCGGACATCAGATGACATTTGTACCGGAGCCGCCGCCAGAGGGGACGGGACTGAATCATAACACATTCATATGAGGTGCGTAAGCCTGTGTTGCATATTAAGACAAGAGGGAAGCCGAATACAGTTAATTCCTGACAAGCCCTTATGTGCTCTATATAGAATTCGGTGTGTGCGTGCGCCATGTGACGGATGCAACAGGATTATTGTGCTCGAGGAGGGTGTTCTCCGACATAGTTTTTGGACCGAGGCGCTGGCCTGTTGCTAAGAGACCTTTGACAGCTGGGAGCTTTTTGGAAAGTGACAGTTATAATTCACTAATGGTGTCTGTTTATCTGGTAACCCAAACATGTATTTTTCTTCTCCCGATCCTCTTCCTTGCGCACTGATCGTGGGTCATCCCTAATTACCTCTTGTGCGTAAAATACAACATTTAGATCTGTGCTTTTTTGCAGTAAGGAGATTACAGTCTTTTTGCATTGGAACAATGGCCTACTTGTTGTTGATTGTCAGGTCCTAAATATATCCATCATCCGGATATGTTTAATCCATTTTGAAGCTCAAATTATGTCATTATCTCATTAGAAAGCTGGGGGGAAAATCCCATGTACAGTAGCTGAATGTAATCAATCAAACTTGGTGAGCTGCTTATATTAAGGACATGTATTAAACATCTGGGAAAATATGGAATTTTAGTCTCATTTGCACTAGAGGTGTCATTCTCAAGATGTTATTTCAAGTAAAATAGCTTGATTTGCCTCTATAAGGACAACACAATCAAGAGCTTATTTATGTAAAGCTATGAAATATGTGCAGCATGTGTTGTCCTGTTTTTAGGGGATGGACTCAGGATGGTAAGCTCCTTCTCTCCCTCTTCACTCAGCAGTTGCCTGTGGCCATGCGTCTGAAGGTCACTCATGAACAGATCGATAGCTATAGCTCTCGCTGAAGTGTAGCCACTTGTACACTTAGCCCTGTCTTGAGGGAGACCACATACATACAAAAGCATTTCTTATAAAATGTTGGGGGACCTGGGGGCGCCTTATTGCACAGCGACTAAGTAGCATTTCAACCATCTAGGATTTCAGTGGTGCTGACCTTTGTCTCCCTCTTGTGCTGCTGGGCATGTTGTCTCTGCAGACAGAGGGGTATCAGATTCAGATGTGTCACACATTATGTCAAGGTTGTAGCTACACCAAACTGACTTGGTGTAATTTGGACTCCCAGCTTGTTTGTAGAAGTGCTGAGCTTGTTTATTTGTCTTCTCTGATGTCGATCCGCCTGTGGCTGTGACATGAAAAGGCCTTGAAAGAACAGCAATGATAATTGTCAAAGTCAAGAGAAGGGACAAAGTCAGCACTTGGCTCTTCACACATCGCAGAGGAGGTTGTCACAGTGTGTCTGGGTGGAGTGGATGGTCTGAGTAAAACTGACGCGCTGTTCTGTCCTATCAGGCTGATGCATGTTCCCAGTGAGGAGACGACAGTCTTCAGGAGCCACATAACACCTCCCCTCCACCTTCATCACCTCATCCTATCTCCAGGGGCATGCCTTCTGAACCTAGCCTCAGGTAAGTGGACTGGTCCGTCAAAACATTCCATACATGCTTGATAAAGGCTCATGGAACCAGTTGAAAAAATCCTCAAGTTGCAATTATGCACTGAAAAATCAAAAGACTATTTCATCACACTGCTTAGGGGACAGAGTGCACTATTATTTATTCTAGCCTGAAGAAGATCCATGTAAGATCAATATTGTGCTCAATAAAGATGTTCCCAGTGTACAGGCTTCACTGGATTTCTGCTGTTTGGATTTATTGGAGGTTAGAAAAAGGTAAACCCACTATACTTTTTGTTATTTTCAACAAATCCCATGAGAATCCAACAATGTGTTAGTCCTTTTTCTCAAATCTGGCATGCAGCTTGTCTCTAGCTTGCCTTCTCAAGCCCATGTATTACTACTGAAGGTGCTTTTTAGTGACATATATCTTTATACACTTATCACAAATAGGATTGCAACTTAAATCAATAATTAAGAAATATCTGGAATAAAATTAAACAATACGGGTTATTTACTCTGGTTGTTTTAACACGTGTTATTTTGCAGATAGACAAACAAACCATTTACCATTTAATTAGCAATCTTTTAATCCATTAATTTGCTAAATAAATCCATTCATTTGTTGAACACATACATTAGGTAATGGAGATGGGAATGTTACGTCATCAACAGCAACTCGCAACTAGCGACTGCAACCTATTGACCTAACCTCTACAGTGTGCGGAGTAGCCGTAACCTTTTCACTTTAAATGTTTTAAACATGGTTGGTAGGCAATATTATGTCACTGGCTATAACAGCCACTCCTATGACCAACGAGCAACACAAAAAAAGGAGCATGAGTGACATCTTGTACTTCTGAAATACAGGCACACAAACCACTACACTGGGAATATCATTTAAAAAAGGAAATATTGCAGAATACATACATATACTGGGAGATTAATTATGCTTGACGACGTTTTGTTTGCACTCAGTAAGCGTTATATTAGTTATCTTACCTCTGTCAGGAGAACTCTATAGTTGTCAATAAACCTGTATAGATTTGAAGGTCATACATCCCCCCATTTGTAAACTTGACATGGGCCTAAAAATTTAATATTTTTTAATTGACGAAAGGTGTAAACACTAACTCCAAACATCAGAGAGGCGCTAAAATCAGTTAAAGTGAACAGTCCGTCCTTCTCTTAATTGATATGGATGGATGACATCAATAAACTTTTTTTTTAATAACGCTCCTCTGATTTTCCTAGACTCGAGCTTCTCTTTGTACGGGCATTTACATTTTGAGCCTACTTTTTTCGATTTTGGATGCAAAACCGCAGACAAATGACCGGGAAATGCTGATATGTATATGCACTGCGGCTCCCATTCCCTTATATGAAATGGGTCATGTGGTGAGTTAGCTTAAATAAGATTAAATAAGGTAACATAAGATACGATAAACCTTTATTTATCCCCGAGGAAAAGCTCAGGTGTTGTAGCAGGCACAAAGAACATACAATAATTAGCGCAGAGTAGTGAAAGACAAAGTTCAGAGGTACTAAGTGACAAGCTAGCTAACTAGCTGTACATTAAATAAAGTACTTGGGAAATGTGTTGGCTTTGGGCTGTAAAGAAATGCTTTACAAAAAGGAATTCATAAAAATAGATAAATGAAAACTTCTCAATTAGCATTAGCAAGCTAGGTTACATCCCACATCAGATTGCTAGTCAAAACTAGCAGAAGGTTATAAACTGTGTACTTAGCTTTAGGCTACTATCTGGTTGTTTATACAAAATATCATAACATGTAAAACATATTCACTCCAGTAATGTTATCCAAATCATAGACCTTTGGCTCAGTTAGTGGAGTAGTGTAGGCTGCACATGTGATGAAGAACACACTGTTCCTGCAGAAGGTTGTACTCTTACTGAATTCCTTTTTAATTGTATTCTGTCAAATTATCTGTAACCTTTAAGTGATGGAAGAATGTGCTACTGAATTCTATAAGACACTTTAAATTACACATTTGCTTTCAATTGTAGGATTTTTATTTTTGAAATAGTTTAGATTCAAATTCAAAGGTGTTATTGTCATAATTATGCACAAAGCTACAGTGTAGAAATGGCAATGAAATTCTTCTGACCTGAGTCAGTAAGTAATCAAAAATAACAGAGCTCTTGAGATGTGAGTATTTAGAGCAGCAGAAAAGCATTGATTGACTAAAAATCAAGTGCCCTTGTTTGTCATATTGATAAAACATGTTACCAAGTGCAATGTTGTAGCTTATTTGTTAGTTTTTTTTATTGTTTTTGGACGACAGTAGGGTTTCTTTTGGAGTTTTTCTCTGGCCACTACGAAGGTCTAAAGACAGAGGGTGTTGTATGTTGTACTGCAAAGCCACCTGAGACAAATGTAATTTGTGATATTGGGCTGTATACAGGGGCGGATCTAGACAAATATTCATGGGGTGGCAGGAGATTTTGAGGGGTGGCATCCCCTGACAGAAGTATATGCTGATTTAAATCGCAATCATATCAATCAATTAGGGGTGTAACGGTACACGTACCCGTACTGAAATTATTCGGTACGGGCCCTTCGGTTCGGTACACGTGTGTACCGAACGAATATAGCGTTAAACGTAAAAAATTGAGAACATGAACAACTTTCTGGAAGTAATCTATATCATAGAGCGACCAAGTCATTTCATTGGACGAGAGGCATACTATGAGAGCTAGTCACAGGGATGCGTTCAAATGTAGTCAGTAATTTGAGGAACTGTCGAAATGGCGAACGCAGATAAAGTTGAGCTGAAAATCCTCCAGCATCATTGAAGTCTCCGGTTTGGGAACATTTTGATTTCGCAGTTACGTACAAGGATGACGGACAAAGACAGGTGGACCGAACCAAAGCTGTTTGTCGGCATTGTTCAACTAACATTGGTTACGCGGCTGGCAATACATCACACTCATTTGAAAAGGCATCACCCGAATGTGAATATCACCGGTACCAAAAGAAAAAAGACTGAAGTGCAAACCCAACTCCCACTAGCATTTAAGCCTCCACCACTCGCAAAGAGTTCAGACCGAGCCAAAGCTAATACAAACGCCAAATATCCTTATGTTGCCATGTTAGCAAAGCGCTACCTGGCTGTATCTGCTGCCACTGTCCCTAGAGAGGGTGTTATCCACAGCAGGAGACATTGTTATTGCCAGCAGATCTGCCCTTTCAGCAAGCAATGTGGACAAGTTCATCTTTCTTTAAACAACATGAAAATACAATGACAAGCAAGTCCTAATGTCAAGCTGGCTGCTTAGGTACTAGTACAGTTCAAATACAGATTATTTCAGTTCATCGAAATGCTGCACCTTAATGTTTATTTTACTATATTTTGTATTTATTTGAATACATTAGTCACAGTTTAATAATAATTTAAAAAAAATATTTAATGTTTTGTGATCATTTTTTCTGCTATACCGAAAACGTACCGAACCGAACCGTGACCTAAAAACTGAGGTATGTACCGAACCGAAATGTTTGTGAACCGTTACACCCCTACAATCAATGTTAACTTGGAAAGCCACAATATTAATATTTTAACTCAATCACATAGGTGATATTATTGTGGCACATCAGTAAAGCCTTACAAGGTGGCAGATGTAATTTAATGAATTTTAACTGAACAATAACTGAATGAGTTTGTTTCACTCTTAGACCAGCAGGGGAACCAAATCTATGCAGACTGCTGCAATAAGTACATTAATTAACTGTCTCATTGATGTTTGTCTGAATGAATATGATACTATTAACAATCATATTATTCCTATCAGCTGTCAATCACTGTTAATAAATAATAATAATAATAATAATAATAGATTTAATTTGTTAGTGTTTTTACAGGTGCTCAAAGACGCTTTACAGATATAGTGAAGAACTGTTATGATTCACATATTCATTTATTATTGAATAAACTATATTTTTTGGAGGAGTTAATGATGAATGTTCATCAAGATGCTTGCTCACCCTCCTTCAAATTTGAAAAACAAGTAATTATATCATTATTGATATACAGTTACAACCTTGACTTTACATCAGAAAGAACAAACATTAAAGAAGTGACTAACTGCATCAGTTAGGGTTAAAAAACGTGTATTCAGCTAAAACATCGCTGCAGTTATTATCCAGTGGAAGGTCCTTACCTACTGGCCTAGTTAAATCAAAGTGGTTACTTTCTGTTGGCTGGGCAGTGTAGTTTTACACACCGTCTTATTTTACTTTCTCAGGACTTAAAACTGTTTTTTGGTGGCAGACCCCCTCAAAGAAAAACAAATATATACACGCATACAAGGTCATCATCTTAACAGTTTGTTATTCTCATCGAGTCATCCGTGAGCAGAGCATCAAGTTGGCATGCCTATTACAGCTGAATGCGGCGATTACTATTTTGTTCAGCAAAACCACTCTCGCGCCAGGACCGGGGGAGGGGTTACATGACGTGCATATTGTGCTGCATTCACTTGCACTCGGATATTAGAGACTTTCTCTCATAAATGTCCGATGAGCCACAACTTTTCTTTCAAAACAAAGATGCCAACTGGGGTGGCAGCTGGGGTGGCAATGCTATTGTTTAGGGTGGCAGTTGCCACCCCATGCCACCCCGGTAGATCCGCCCCTGGCTGTATACAAACGTATTGATTGATTAAGCACAGCCGTGAACACACTTGAAGGATATACTGTAAATCACAATTGGCTACACAGGCAACACGTGTTTGAAGTGTCAACCTTTTGATGGTTTTCCTGAGCCATCATATGCAGGACCCCATCTACCCAGTGGTACAGTATTTAATATCAACTGTGCAGACAGTAATGCTGGCTGCTGAAAATACACACTGCGGCTTTAAAGTGAAACTCCCCCTATTTTATAGATCAAGGTCATATCTGTAATTATAAGGAGAACCATGGAGCTTGTGAAAACAGCTGTTTTATGCCTTTGTGGCTTTGACGGATCAAGACATGAGAAAAATTAGGA